ATTATAATTTTGAAAATACGGAATTGCAGTCATGTAACTTGACTCAAGCGTGCACATACGGTCACAAAATGCATATGTGGGCGTATTTGTGTACGTGGCTCCACCTGTCAGTGACTAGCTGAGGCATTATTGCATAAAACACACTTGTACCTTTTGTATTCACGAAAGAGAGCCGGCCACCGTATTACTTTTTTTTTTGCACAAACCCCTTTGCGTTTTTAAATTTGCAGAAAAGTTAGCTACTGTACTGCAAAAATTAACGAAATTTAAGCCAAAATTGAAGACGCCAGCAGTCGACCCACATGACCAGCCACTCTAACCACTCTATCAATCACGTTCAGATCACAGCTATGAATACCAAGCTCACATGTATTGAACGAGAATGCAGTGGAGCTTACATGGGCTGCAGACACTGCGGCCAATTTCGTACGTGCTATTTTTTCTTAATATATTTACAAAACGTAAATTAAAAAGTTATATTCAAATATTTGCATGTTAAAAATATTATACATTCAGATAATAATTATTAAATAAAAAATTTAAACATAAACCTATGTAAATTATGTAAGAAAAATTAGTAAAGAATATTCAAGATATTTGTAAAACATAAGAAATAAAATTATGTTCAAATATTTGTGTGTTATTAACATTATACATACACAAAAAATTAGTAAATAAAAATATTTAAATAAATTTTTCTAATATATAAAAAATATTTATTTAATACGAACATTGAAAATGTTTATTAAATAAATATGTTTTATGAATCCATAAAAAATATACACTCAAGGCTTATTTAAATTATACAAATGATGAATAAAAACACTTGCTAAATATTTATGAATATTCACTTGTGTATACTTTTTATTCATGACTTATATTAAAATATATATAATTTAAATAATATATAGGATTGAATATTGATATCCACAATTTAAATTTTAAATTATTTTTATTTAAGTATACAAACATTTTATATAATTCATAATTGTTATTTTAAATAATGAATATTTTTAAAATAATTCATGAACAATATTAAATGTAGTTTATTTCGTATGTATGTACAATAATTATAACACACAAATATTTAAATATTATTTTTACTACATTTTTGGCAAGCATTATTTTACTACTGAAATTATAATTTACATAATATCTACAATATTCTAAAAAGATGGCACTGGCCATAGCTCATTTCAGCTCCACGAGGGCTTTGTTATAGTACATTAAGTCTAGTTATCCATGCCAATCTTGTACAGGTGCATGTTGTAGGGCGGTTTTTGTGCTAACCTTTTGTCGCGAGTTGGAGACTTGGTGGCCGCATTTTTTTGTTAATTTACAGTCCGTAAAAAAATTTATGAAAACTTCCGTCTCATCTTCAATCGTGGCAATACAACAAACATCAGAAATAATGAAAATCACTTTCATGTTCATAGACCACCTAGCGACGACTACAAGCACTGAAGCGAGGCGAAGGCACGTCGTCGTCATCGTCCCTCCCTCGTCGGAGCCAGACAAAACTTGTTGTAATAGACAGTCGAGAAGTCGTCGTGTTAAGGCCCCTATGACGCCCCCGATTCAATCGTACACTAATCATGCACGCAAATGTGTACGATCAAATAAGTCATACAAGCATCATATTACAAGCCAGGGGCTTCGAGGGCTCGAATACAAGTGCTCGACATAAACGAGTCAGCGGAAGCAACAATATCTGAGTACAAACATGTTAGGCAAGGTGCCATAAGATGGCTAGCACAAACTAGGATACAGATCGAAAGAAGCGCAGGCCTCCTGCCTGGGATCCTCCTAAACTACTCCTGGTCGTCGTCAGCGGCCTGCACGTAGTAGTAAGCACCTTCAGTGTAGCAGGAGTCGTCGTCGACGGTGGCGTCTGGCTCCTGGGCTCCGATGTCTGGTTGCGGCATCCGAGATAAGAGGAAAAAGAGGGGAAAGAGGGAGCAAAGCAATCGTGAGTACTCATCCAAAGTACTCGCAAGCAAGGATCTACACTACATATGCATGGGTATATGTGTAAAGAGGCAATATCGATGGGCTGAACTGCAGAATGCCGGAAAAAGAGGGGGATAGCTAGTCCTATCGAAGACTACGCTTCTGGCAGCCTCCGTCATTTGCATATGCTTGTTGTGTTTGCATTCTCGTGCTCATACATATGTTGTTTGCTAGGGCGGTGGCGGCCACTTTGTATCACGAGGTGGAGAAGAAGTTGTTTGCTTTTAGCCATTGTTGGATCATATTGAATGGCAAGCCGAAGTGAATGCAACTTGTGGTCGATCTCAAGTCCGGCAAGAAGAGGAATGATGCCTCAAGCTCCCACCAATCAATTGGGTTGGACAATGAAGAGACGATGTTATCGTCATGAATGGAAGAGCCACCGTGCCAAAGGATAACCGACAAGTCATGGGAAATAAGTGGCAGAAGGCACGGGCCTCCCATGACGCCGCGGCTACAAAAATGTCGTCCACATGGACGGGCATTTTTCGATAAGGGAGAATAAGAAAGAGGAGAGGTACAAGGTCATGTTGGATGCACAAAAGGAGAGGATGGAGTGGGATCGAAAGAGGGCGAAGAAGAAGCTAGAAATTGAGAGGGAAAAGTCGAGTTGGAGAAGTAAGTGGCGGTGATCAAATGGGAACTCGAGAAGGCCAAGACATTTGGAGAGATTGAGCCTCAGAAGGAGAGGTTGCAACTCGCACGGAACGCGGAAGATGCGAGATCATGTTGGCGGACGAAACCCTCTTGGATGAGCATGCAAAGAAGTGACTTGCAGACAAGAAAGAGATCAACGATCGTATGGAGTACAAGGCGGCGAGGGCGGCAGCGACAGCGAATCATGCGGTCAGGATGCAGGCGGATGAGGCAGCCCAGATGCTGGACGAGCATGACGCAGTCCGCCTGGGCTCGGAGCAGGCGCCATGGATGGCGCCCGGCCATTGATTCGACAAGCGCGCCATCCGTCACGCTCAGACATTGATTTCATTCTGTCATGTCCAATTTGTTGAACTATGATATACTTTGCTTTGTTTTAAACTGTTGAATTCAAACAATTTGTATCGTATGATCGACGTGCATGGATTGCATGGATTTGAAGATCGGTATTTGAGGTACGTGGATGTGCGACGGAACATATGAGGGGCCAACAGGCGCTGTCCGCGAATGCGTCCACAGGGCGTATAGGGGGGCGGATTTGCCAAGTCCGGCTGTAGATGCTCTTAAGTCAAATTTGACATGTCTAGTGAGTTTGTTTCTGCACAACACATGGCTGCCCTGCCCACGTACTACATGCATGGGATCTTCATTTCATCAAAGACTAGTTTTATTTTGTTACAAACATGTCAATGGCAATCAGGCAAACCTGTTATGTGGTTCAAGGAGAAAGAGGGGGTGAGTGACAGAATGTCAATTAGGCAGTAGTGCTGAATCACTGGTGCTCCTAGCCCGCCCTTGCTTGCAGCTGGCTCCTATCTAGGTTTTACAGGACAGAGAGGGTGTACATGTGATGCAGCTCGGTTCAATTGCTCTCAGCTTCTTTCTGGTCACTGCACCGGAGGACACATGATGCATTGATTTTTGGGTACCACGAGAGGCTTGACCAGCTTCTCTATGCTGGGAGACAGCTAACAAAAAATATTGATGGTCATCTGAATTTGTGATGGTCAGTCCAACTGGTTTGGTTGACAACTTTGACATGTCTGGTGGTGAGTTTGTTTGTGCACATGGCTCTGCCCTGCCCATGCAGCACATGGAATTTATTTCATCAGACAAAACAGTACTACAGTACTTCTTTATTTTGTTACAGGTACAAAGTTACTGGATCAGCACAAAATCCATCCATGGCTTTTCTCTAGTTACTACTAATAACTGCTGCCACACAAAGGATGTAAGGCCAAAGAAGTAAGAGAGAGAAAAGAAACTTTGCATGAGAGGGAGAATGAATGGTGGAATGTGAGCTTGGGCTACTGCAACTGCAAGCACACAATTGGGGGCCTCAGCACAAGAGAGAAAGGGCCCATGAGATGACCATGAATGATGATGCAAGAGGAAAGGTGGTCAAGACCTTCCCTTTCCTTCCCTTCACTTGTGGAGGGAGTGAGTGAGGAGGAAACAAGAAAGGACCTGCTGCATGCACCACTGGCCTGCATCATGCTCTATCATCACCAGTGAGCATGAGTGAGTGAGTGATACAAAAGGTGTCACTGAATTATGAGAGAGAGAGAGAGAGAGAGAGAGAGAGAGAGAGACCCTTGCTGTGGATTGTTTCTTGCAGAGTCAGTCCGTACATCCGATGGAGTACTATTTGACTGCCCCAGGAAGCTCAAGAACTGAATCTGTTGTTGCATTGTTGCCAGCAGTGTCCAGATTTGCTGCCACAACTCTTATCAGTGGTTTGGAAGTTCAGATTCTGCATATGCATGGTTCAGGAAAGAGGTGGACTGATTGCAGGTTAGGGAACAATACTGGGTAGAGACTACTACTTCTCTATCAAATCCAACAACCAAACTAAACCAAACTCTATTCCAGACTAGAAAAAAGTCAGCAATGCCAGGAGCACTAGAGAGCAGCACTTCTCTTGCAAATCTAACAACCAAACTAAACCAAACTTTGTTCCAGCCTAGAAAAAAGTCACCAATGCCCAGGATCACAAGATGCAAAACAGCAATGCAGCAGGGCTGTGCTCAACCTCAGCCCTGCAAACAAAACTCGGAAAGGGGACAGGAAAACGTAGCATAACATCGCAATATAATGGCGGGCATAATATTGTATCAACCAACCACAAGTGACGACGAATCCAGGACTAGAGAAACGGTTCTCTCAAGCGAAAGACTGACTGCTAGAGCTAACAAGGAGTTTCAACCGAGGCCTAACCGGAATTTCGCGTTCGATTCTTTCCTCCTGACTGATGATCTACATGACTACGGCCCAATGGCCTCTAAGACCCGATGCGACAGACTCAGGAGATGCTCCTGACCACCGGCACAAGCTCACATATCCGAGTGCGAGTACTCGTGCTCGTGCTCGTTCTCGACACTCTTCCTCATCTGCATCACCTTCTTGTGGGAATTGGAGTGCATGAAGCTCACGAAGGTTGGGCTGTTGACGGGCCTGTACTCCGGCAGCAGCCTGCCGGACTTGTACCTCACGCCGCACGCGTTGCATAGGGTCTTGGGCCCTAGAGGGCCGCTCCTCCACTGTGGCGTCGTGTGGGACAGGCAATGGGTGCACCGCTTCACTGGCTCCTCCAGTGGGACCTCCTCGTTCACATACGTCTTCTTGGTCCTCCTCTTGCCCTGCTCATCTACAAATGAAGTCTTCTTGATCCTCCTCTTCTCCTGCGGAGGCTCCTCGTCATCTCCGTAATATGTGGTCTTCTTGATCTTCCTCTTATCCTGCCCCCTTCCATGATCTTGCTCTTCGTCAACTTGTTGGCCGCAGCGCTCCAGTTTGATGAACCCGTTCCCTGCCTTGAGCCTCAGGCTACACGTGTTGCACAATAATGCCCCTGACGGACCGCCCTGCCACTGCTGCGGTGTTTGGTTGGAGTTGGACAAACAAATGCTACACCTCATCACCGCCTGCTCTTGCTTGAACTGCACAGTGTAGGGCTTATATGCTTCCCCGTGTTCCTGCTCCAGTTTTTGGACAAGTTCTTGGTCCTTGTCTTTCTTGGGGAGGATGAGCTCACTCTCTGCTAGCCAATGCTTCTGATCAAGTAGTAGCGGTGGCTCAACAATCAGGAAATATTCTTCATCGCTATCTCTTATAACAGAGGCCAGGCTTCTCTTCTTTCTTCTGGGATTGGAAGATGAAGGATGTGGCAGGTTCGGGTTTACAGATGCTTGTTCTTCGGAGACAGGGTAGGATGCAGGGTTAGTCAAGCAGTCCCCTAAATAGATGGAGAGCCACTCTGTGCTGCTGTCTTCACTTTCCTGCAAATCAGAAAGAGTAGCATGGCACGTTTAGACAAAATGGCCAAACTGATTGTCTAAGAATATATGTATATATATATATATATATATATATATATATCACTAAATGGAATTACACAACTGCAAGGAAATCTACTTTTCATAGAGGTCCTGTTCTATGTTTTTGCTAAGAAACAAGCATGTGAGGATGAATAAAATGAATGGAATGCATAGGGAAGCCTTAATGGACTAGGGACTGTCATTGGCAATATGGTTCCCAAACAAAGAGTAGCAGAAGCATGGAGTAACAAATTTCCAAACAGATTACTGAATAAACCTACTAACGAAGAACAAACAGTCCTACAGTCAGCATCCTTTACTTTTTGAACTAATTAAAGTCCACACCATCAATCAATAGAAAAATTTGCTTTGGGGGCATTCGAATTGGCAAGTGATACTTGAGTTCAGATTCCAATGGAAAATTAAGTTACTGCAACGAAAATAAAATTCATGCTTCAGTCACAAATGCAATTAAACACCGTGGAACAGAAACCACCATGGCAGTTTCTCACAACAGGATGCAATTAAACAGTTCACTAGTCCACGAACTTGAGTCAAGGCTAAATATGAGGAACATAACCGATGCATTTCATAATAAGTGATACAATGGATGGATGGATGTTTCCTTGAATCCTGCAAGGAGTTACAGACCAAACCTGAAGAACCCTTGAGGCAAAATCGAGATGCCGACTGCCATTGTCACCGTTTCTAGTCCTAAAGTTTTCCACCCAAATCGATACACAAAACAACTACAATATCTCTGTCGCAATCTCGCATACGCGTCGCCTCACAGCGGCCAAAAGGATATTAACAGTGGATGCGCCGATGCAACGACAATGACAGGAGGGAACGAACACACACACATCGACATTGATTCAAGACACGCATTGCTTTTCCTCTTCCTTCCGTGACATCACAGCGAAAGGGAAACATAATACTACTTTTCCCCAATGGATAATTGAAAGAACGTGATGAACCTGACACGAACCCTAGTAAGGGGGATAAAACAATTATTGCACGGTCGCTGAAAAAAAATCCCCCCCTCGGCGGGCGGCAGTTACCATTGAATTGCTCGGGAAATTGAAAACCTCTTCCCTCCCAACCAAAGCAATATATTCGCCTAATAATAGACGCAGACGTGAACAGAAGGATTCCTCCACGGGAGAGGACCGAAACAGTAAAAAGTAACAGAGGAACAGAGCCGCCATTTCTTCTTTTTTCCCCCTTTGCGTTCCGAACATTCAAGAGGAATTTCATCCTGAAGGGAGCAAGAAACCGGCGAAACCACCTAGGGTTCAAGGAATTGCACACGGACCAACCTAAACCCCCGTAATTCTTGAACAACCGGCGGCGGCGGCGGCGGCGGCTAAACCCCGCAAAATACTCCTCTGCGAAAGCGCAACCCGGAAGACATCCAAGAAAGCATTCAAAAACCAAGAACCCCCGGTCCGCCGGCGCCTTCCCTCGCGACGAAGCAACCAAAACCCCGGTTCTTGGCCGGGGGGAACAACTCCTATTCGCAGGGGAACCAACAATCAACCGGAACAGGCGGGGAAGAGGGGGGGTGGTGGGAAAAGAAACCGACCATGGCGGGCTCCTGGGGGAACATGTCGCCGAGGGCGGCGGCGGCCGCCGCCGCCGCCGCCGCTGCATTCGGCGGGTGGTGCACGTCCATGCCCCGCCGCCCCCAAACCGGAGGAGGAGTGGAGAGGGGAGATAGAGAGGGGAAGAGGGGAGGGAGGGGAAGGTAGGGATTCCGCAGGAGCTTTCTTTTTGTTCCCCAGCGGAGGTTTTTATGGGGAAGAGGAAGGAAACAGAGAGCGCGTTGGGGTTACGATTGAGGGGGAAAAAGGGCCGGTTTTTACCGTGCTTGGAGGGCAAGGCCCGGCGAAAAGTTGCCCTCTTTGCCTCTCTTTTTGCTTAGCCCTGAGGTTTTAGGGTTTGTGTTGTTTGCAATGGACTCAACAAGGTTCGAAAAAGGGAAAGTTTTTGTTGTTTGGGTTTATGTGTGTGTGCTTCACATGACAGTTGTGTTTGGGTTGTTGTGGGGTTTATCCATCCACATGAGGAGATGAGATGATGGCATTGTGAGGTTTATCTTGATGGGGGAAAGACTTCATGGGGGGTTAGGCAAAGAGAATTTGTTGGTTATGGCAATGCATCTAATGGTTTTTCGATGCAATTCACACATAAAATTTGTTTGGGATACAATTTTTTTATTTTTTTTTTGGCGTAGCAGCAAAGTTATTTTTTGGGATTCTGATGGTTATGTTTGGGTAAATTTGACATGATTAAATGCTCCAATTGGTTGTCGTGCGGTTTTGTATCTTCTTCATGCGATAAGATAATGACATTATGAGGTTTAACTCGGGGAAAATCCATGGGAGGTTAGGGCACCTCCAACGTTTGTGCATCGAAGCGCCGCTAAACGCCCCGTACACTTTGTCTCATCCAACGTCATGCATGAAACGCTTCACCGACCAGTCCGTGTGTTTCGAAATTCTACTAACCAGAAGCAAATCTGGGGAAGGTTTGCGGACGCCCGGATAGCCGCCACGTAGGCGTCCCGACAACCGCAACCCCCACAGAAAACCCATCCGGAGCGCCTCTTTTCTCTCTCCGTCCCTCCGCTCTTGCTTTCTATCTGCATGGTCCGAGACTGGTGTCGTCGCTATACCACCCACTCCGCCGCCCAGGCCTCGTTGGACCTCCACCGCTCCATACCGGGTGTCAGTACCGACTTGCTGACGCCTCCCTTCCACCCCTGGTTAGCCGCCGCCCAGGTACCCTTTGCCCTCCTGCAGAATGCGGTCCATGGTGGACACCGCGCGCGAACAAGTGTTCGGTCAAATGTCGTATCCACTTTTATTGATGTTTTTTTGTTGTTTACTTTCAAGCAAACAAGATGAACATGGCGACGCTTGAAGAATTTATCAAAATGCATCAACAAATTCGACATCAACCAGTGGGCTCTTCGGGAGAGGGGGGCAACTAAAAATCAAATCTGAACTATTTTATTGGGAAACTTCGTGTATGGGTTGTAATATCAATCAATATTTGAATTATTGTTGCATTGTAATATTTGCACGTGATGATCATGGACGAAGGATGATATTTACCTTTAATAATTTTGTGAGTGCTTCGCATATAAGACATTTGGTGTGCCAGGTTTGGTGGGCTACCGCTGTCCGTGGACGTTTGGGGTGTCCGATTTGACGGACGGCATTTGAGATGCCCTTAAGCAAAAGGATTTTGCTAGATATGGTGATGCACCCAGTGATCTCTGAATAAATGTGCATGATAAATTCATTTTTAATTAGCAGCAAAATTGTTTAGTAGTACTATCAAAATTCCTTTTTTATTATTTCAGATAAATCAGCATGATATAACAAACTTTTCGATTATTACTTCGCCGAAAAGTTTCTTCTATAATGAGTAGATCATTATTTCTATTATTATTAATGAATACCGGATTGGCATTCGAATTAAAATCCTGCAAGAATATATATATACAGTGGTATCTTCTCATGAATGAAATGTGATTAATGGAGAAATCTGCAGCGTATCTTTGGTTCGATGTGTTGCTCCTTTGCCCAGTTTTGCATTACATTTATTCTCGTGTCGGCCGTATGAGCTAGGACAGAAAACAGAGGCAGCGAGGCCTTTCAATTTTTTCGTACTGATTTCCCTCCATCCCTTTCAAACGCAACGCAAGCAGAGAGAGAGCTGTCATGAATTTTTGTGAGCATGTGCAGCTTTTTCTTGCTTTACCATTGTTTTCAATGCTGATGATTCTGGTTGAAAGGGCGAAAAAGGCAAACATTACAGAAATTTTCGGCAAATGTTAAATGGTCGGCACAAATGCGACGACCGAGACAGCACAAAGGGATAGAAATAACACAAATTTTCCTCTTGCTATTCGGCTCGACATGAAGCCCTCCTTTTAACAGGGCGCAAACACGTCTACAAGTGAATATACATCAGCTGGCGTTTTCATCATCACATCATCAGGAGAAAAAGGCTCTAGAATCCAGGAGCAAAATTTGCTTGGGTTTTACTCAACTTCGACAAGAGTGTTTCGAGTGAGGAACGATGCCATGACAGAATAGACCTGCGATGATACCTGCGATGATCAACCATGATCCATCACAAAAAGAAGACCCTAGTCGATTACGACAACAGGTACTCCAAATCTGATGGACAGTATATATATATATAGGTTTTTCCACCGGAAGACGGGCTATGCCTAGACTTTGCGAGGTTGGAGCTGGCAGCAAGCAACAATGTCTCCAATTCTGCTTTACTTCCAAAGTCACCTGCACGCATAATACACGGCGCCCGCACGCACCATTAGTTTCTGAAAGTAGCCGCTCATCGCAGTCCAGGAAACACCGCAAACAAAATTAGAACAAGCACCAGAGGCACTGAGCGGCAAAAAAGGACAAATCCACCTTTAGTGGCCCAACTTGTCAATGGAACATGGCATTTCCTATCCTATTCCCAACATAGCAATGCCCATTAAACATGCGCTCTCAGGAATTATACCATCATTGCTGCACTTTTCTGAACTCTGTCAGGACAGGATATATGTTCTCGAAGGCGGTGTATGTCTCTTCTCTCACCTGGAAAGATAATAGCTTAGAAATACCATCATTACTGAGTAATGGAGAAACCCACAGGGCCACAGGAAAGGACTACCGACCTTTGCTCCAGTCAGAACAATCTTGCCAGAAACAAAAATTAGGAGGACAATCTTCGGCTGCCTCATCCGGTAAATCAGACCGGGAAATAGCTCTGGCTCATACTGTCAAGCAACCGTATAAAATATCAGTTCCAAAACAAGGAGATAGAGAAGTTCCGGGAAAGAAAGAAAAATACCGCACATGATAAAATAGTGCCAACAGAAACCACAGAATTCAACTTGGTAACTTACACTTGAGAAAGCGCCATGGGAATATGCGAGGCCCTCAAGCCTGATAGGGAATTTGACATCACAAGAGGCAACAATATTCTGGATCTTGAAGTCCTGACATCACAGAATTAACAAACGTTCAGCAAACAAGCAATTATCAAGGTATGAGCATGCAAACTTTACACAAGAATGGGATAGGTACCTTGAATTTTGCAGGAAATCCAAGCTTCTGGATTATACGAGCATACTGAAAACAGGAAAACATTTACAATTTGAGAACCTTTTGCCTCTGATATGTATGAAAGGAAAGAAAGCTAGACAAATACCTTTCTAGCTGCGAGTTTAGATTGTTGTTCACTTTTTGCTCCAGTGCAAACCTGATAACAAAGCAACGGTATACTTTGCATCAGTGTGTAATTAGGAGGATAACACCACTAAGACCATAACTCTCTGGTATAACTATCAAATTTCACTTTCCCAGAAGGCCACTGAATCAAAACACTTTTGCAGGTTTCCATTAAAGTGATCAACTGATACCCAAGGAATTTTAACTGAACTCAAGTATCAATCCAATCTCAACAAATCTTTGCTTTATTTTTCAATGACTGAAGACAATATTTGGAGGATCTTTTATACTGAGTGAAAAGGTTTAATTCTGACATATAGCTAATGTGAAAAATATGCAGCGAACCCTAACCGCTTAGTGTCAATGGGGAATTTGCATTGAATTTCAACAGTCGGATGACTACAGCATGAATAGCTACTCATATGCGCGTACAATACCATCTCCAACGCCATTAAATAATCAAACTACAAAAGACCATATTCTGCATCAGATGTACATGAACTTGGCCTTACCATTTTTCCTGAAGCAAATATCAATGCGGTAGTTTTTGGTTCTCTTATCCGCATGATAACTGCAGCAAAACGCTGTTCAAAATAGAATGTCAGCAAAGAAAAGCGTAACATATATGCTGCTGAACAAATTTACAAGCACCAGAACAGCAAAAGACAGAGCAAATGATCATGGTCCAATTATTTGTTTTCACCAAATAAATTTTACATAATAGAAGAGATCATACTAACCTAGAAATACTATTGATTATCATATACAGGTGCAGGTTTTAAACAGCATCGACTTTATTTAGTAAATCTCTCTCAAACAAAAAAACTTTATTTAGTAAAACGCAGAATAGAGCAGAGCAGCCATGTATCATCAATTCATAACCTTACCCTCATGCTAAAGCCTAAAGGTAGTCAGGTAGACAGTCTCAACTCACCATCGGATCAAAAACTATTTAGTAAGCTATTGTTCTCTAATTTCTCAGCGAATGAACACAAATACAGAAGGGTCCACAAAAGAACCCATGTACAAAGTCTCAAATCTTTTACCAGGCTACCCACCGTCTACACAGCAGGATTCACAAAGACATGCTTGCCACAATAGACTTGTGGATGCTAGCAAAGCAAAGTGATAAAACTTGGATGTTTTCGGAAATATAGCACCAGACGACACTAAATATTCACAAAACCTTTAAATATAGCACCAGGAGCCCAATAAGAGAAAACAAAAACAACATGAAGAATGTATTAGGATAATGATTTCACCTTGGGGTTATACTCTGCATTGCGTGCCTGGAGAGCTATTGCTTTCAGGTCCAACTTACAGTCCAGGTTGACCGTCGACACAATATTCCTGTCATCAAATCAAACACCAGAAGGCAGAGTACACCCAGGAGCGTTATACTTTCATACTTGGGTAGTTAAAATGAGCACAGCACAAAACACCATCGCCCCCAAAACGCAACACCGGTAAAATGTCCAGCGAATTAGAACACGCTGCACGGACCGGACCACGTTGGCACAAAGCGGATAACTTGGCATGCTAGACCCGTCTCAAGTTCCATGCTTATGGCATTCCACAGCATTTAAGCCACGCCGTGGCACGCCCGGTGACCCCCGACACAAGTTTATGAACCCGCTGTTGTTTCGCATTCAAAGTTTCATGCATATGCATTCCAGAGCATTTAAGCCACACCGTGGCATGAATTTCAGATCCGGCGACAAATTATGACCCGGATAACCTCAATATCTACTTTTCATCTGAACCCAACCTCTACATTGGTTTATTAATGTGTAATTTTCAGTGAACCAATCTCATCAGATTTATGATTTCATTTGGTCGTTCTCTAGAAACCCCTGTCCCCTTCCCTCTCTGGAATCCCCCCTCTCCCCCCCAGAAAAAAAGAAAATCGGATCAAACCGAGGCATGCTCGCCCGCCAAATCGCCCGCGCCCAATTCAGGAACGCCTCAAACCCTCTAAAAGGGGCCGAGGGGCGGCGCCGACCGACGGAGCCCAGCCAGCCCCGGGCGGGAAAGGTGAGAGACGGGGACGGGGGGCGGGACTTACTGGAGCGTGGGGATGATGCCGGAGGGGTGCTTGGTCAGATCCACCGGCTCGCTCCCCTCCAGCGCCGCCGCCTCCGCCATCCACCGCCGCCGCCCCCCGACCCCGCGGGAGGAGCCCGGTCCGGGCGCGCCGAGAGAGGAGGAGCTTGTGGTGATTCTCCCGCGGGGAAGAGAGAATTCGAAATCGGCGGTGGTTTTATAGAGATCGGGGAGAGGGGATCGGAGGCTGCCGCTCGCCTAGGGTTTGGTCGTCGGCCTTCCTTCCGCGAGGTTGGTGCGGGGTTGGGGTCGGGGTGGGGGGTATGCGGACGGGGTACGGGGGACAGGCGGTTGCTGCGGGGGGTGGGTATTTATAGGCCCAGCGAGGTGACCGGCCGTTGCCCGTCCCGAGGGCGGCGAGGTTGTGTTCGATTTCGACTCGTATATGCAGCTCTCACCCGGAGATAACACAATTTGCAAGTACTTTCTTTTTTTGAGAATCAATTTGCAAGTAGTAATATCTTTCTTTTGCGGGGCAATTTGCAGTAATACGACGGGGGCTGCTACGCGTCGGCCGGTGGATCTTTTTAAACAAATTGCAACAACATCTTGCGTCGCGTCTAATTTTCTGCAACTAGACAATTGTTACGAAAAATGCAATAAGATCTTCAAAAATTGCAACAAATCTGTTGTTGCGTCTGAGCTCGAGGAGGCGAGAGCCATGGACGCCAGCGCTCCTCAAGAATGCCGGCGGCATCGAGCGGCGAGCGAGCCACAACAGATGCAGCTCTAGAGGCAGGCGGTGCTGGGGATCGTTGCAGAAATTAAAAAAAAATCTACGCATCGGCAAGATCAATCTACGGAGAAACTAGCAACGAGAGAGAGAGAGAGGGGAGAGCAGCTTCATACCCTTGAGGATCGCGACACGGAAGCGTTACAATAACGCGGATGAAGGAGCCGTTCTCGTAGCGATTCAGATCGCGGTGGATTCCGATCTAAGCGCCGAACAACGGCGCCTCCGCGTTCAACACGCGTGCAGCCCGGTGACGTCTGCCACGCCTTGATTCAGCAAGGAGGAGGGAGAGGTTGAGGAAGAAGGCTCCAGCAGCAGCACGACGGCGTGGTGGTGGTGGAGCAGTGGTTCTCCGGCAGGGCTTCGCCAAGCACAAACGGAGGAGGAGAGGGGTTAGAGAGGGGGAGGGCTGCGCCTTGGATGTGGTGCGGCTACCCTCCCTCCTTCCCTCTATTTATAGGGTGAAGAGGGAAGGGGGACGGCCCCTCTAGATGAGATCAAGAGGGGGGCGGCCAAGGGGAGGGGGCTTGCCCCCCAAGCCAAGGGGGGCGCCCCCTTTAGGGTCCCCCCCAACCCTAGGCGCATGGGCCCTAGGGGGTGGCGCCCAGCCCACTTGGGGCTGGTTCCCTTCCACATACAACCCATAAGGGCCCTTCGGGGCAGGTGGACCCTCCCGGTGGACCCCCGGAACCCCTTCGCTGGTCCCGGTACAATACCGATAAACCCCCGAATACTTTCGGTGACCGTATGATGACTTCCATATATAAATCTTCACCTCCAGACTATTCCGGAAATCCTCATGACGTTTGGGATCTCATCCGGGACTCCAAACAACATTCAGGTAACCACGTACAAACCTTCCCTATAACCCTAGCGTCATCGAACCTGAAGTGTGTAGACTCTACGGGTTCGGGAATCAAGCAGACATGACCGAGACAGCTCTCCGGCCAATAACCAACAGCGGAATCTGGATACCCATGTTGGCTCCCACATGTTCCACGATGATCTCATCGGATGAACCACGATGTCGAGGATTCAAGTAATCCCGTATACAATTCCCTTTGTCAATCGGTACGTTACTTGCCCGAGATTTGATCATCCGTATCCCAATACCTCGTTCAATCTTGTCACCGACAAGTCACTTTACTCGTTCCGTAATGCATGATCCCGTGACCAACTACTTAGTCACATTGAGCTCATTATGATGATGCATTACCGAGTGGGCCCAGAGATACCTCTCCGTCACACGGAGTGATAAATCTCAGTCTTGATTCGTGCCAACCCAACAGACACTTTCAGAGATACCTGTAGCGCACCTTTTTAGCCACCTAGTTACGTTGTGACGTTTGGTACACCCAAAGCATTCCTACGGTATCCGGGAGTTGCATAATCTCATGGTCTAAGGAAATGATACTTGACATTAGAAAAGCTTTAGCAAACGAACTACACGATCTTGTGATATGCTTACGATTGGGTCTTGTCCATCACATTATTCTCCTAATGACGTGATCTCGTTATCAATGACATCCAATGTCCATGATACGTCCATTTTGCATCATGCTTTTATGACAATATTTATTGCATTATGGGTTGTTATTTCACGTTATGTCACAATACTTATGGCTATTCTCTCTTATTTTACAAGGTTTATATGAAGATGGAGAATGCCGGCAGCTGGAATTCTGGGCTGGAAAAGGAGCAAATATTGAAGGCCTATTCTACGCAACTCCAAAAGTCCTGAAACTCCACGGAATACCTTAAAATAAATAAAGAAAAATCGTCGCCAAAGATGAAGGCCAGGGGGCCCACATCCTGCTCACGAGGGTGGGGGGCGCCCCCCTGGGCGCGCCCCCTACCTCGTGGGCCCCCTGGTGGCTCTCCGACGCCCATCTTCTCCTATATGAAGTCTTTCGATAAGAAAAAAATAGAAGGCAACCTTTCGGGATGAGACTCCGCCGCCACGAGGCGGAACCTTGGCGGAACCAATCTAGGGCTCCGGCAGAGCTGTTCTGTCGGGGACACTTCCCTCTGGGAGGGGGAAATCATCACCATCGTCATCACCAACGCTCCTCTCATCGGGAGAGGGCAATCTCCATCAATATCTTCACCAGCACCATCTCATCTCCAAACCCTAGTTCATCTCTTGTATCCAATTCTTGTCTCCAAGTCCGGGATTGGTGCTAGTAGGTTGCTAGTAGTGTTGATTACTCCTTGTAGTTGATGCTAGTTGGTTTATTTGGTGGAAGATCATATGTTCATCTCTTGTATCCAATTCTTATCTCCAAGTCCGGGATTGGTGCTAGTAGGTTGCTAGTAGTGTTGATTACTCCTTGTAGTTGATGCTAGTTGGTTTATTTGGTGGAAGATCATATGTTCAGATCCTTTATGCACATTATTACCCCTCTGATTATGAACATGAATATGCTTTATGAGTAATTACGTTTGTTCCTGAGGACAAGGGAGAAGTCTTGCTATTAGTAGTCATGTGAATTTGGTATTCGTTCGATATTTTGATAAGATGTATGTTGTCTAACCTCTAGTGGTGTTATGTGAACGTCGACTACATAATACTTCACCATTATTTGGGCCTACAGGAAGGCATTGGGAAGTAATAAGTAGATGTTGGGTTGCTAGAGTGACAGAAGCTTAAACCCTAGTTTATGTGTTGCTTCGTAAGGGGCTGATTTGGATCCATATGTTTCATGCTATGGTTAGGTTTATCTTAATACTTTTGTTGTAGTTGCGAATGCTTGCAATAGAGGTTAATCATAAGTGGGATGCTTGTTCAAGTAAGAACAGCACCCAAGCACCGGTCCACCCACATATCAAATTATCAAAGTACCGAACGCGAATCATATGAGCGTGATGAAAACTAGCTTGACGATATTTCCATGTGTCCTCGGGAGCGCTTTTCCTATTATAAGAGTTTGTCCAGGCTTGTCCTTTGTTACAAAAAGGATTGGGCCACCTTGCTGCACTTTATTTACTTTTGTTACTTGTTGCTCGTTACAATTTATCTTATCACAAAACTATCTGTTATCACTTATTTCAGTACTTGCAGAGAATACCTTGCTGAAAACTGCTTATCATTTCCTTCTGCTCCTCATTGGGTTCGACACTCTTACTTATCGAAAGGACTACGATAGATCCCCTACACTTGTGGGTCATCAAGACTCTTTTCTGGCGTCGTTGCCGGGGAGTGAAGCGCCTTTGGTAGGTGGAATTTGGTAAGGAAAAACTTATTTAGTGTGCTGAAATTTTCTGTCACTTGTTACTATGGAAAGTAATTGTCTGAGGGGCTTTTTCGGGGTATCTTCACCCCGTCCAGTAGATCAAAGAGTTGCTCCTCAACCTACTCAACCTACTGAACCTATTGAAAATGAAACTCCTTTTGAGATTCCTTCGGGTTTGATGGAAAAACTACTAGCTAACACTTTTACAGGAGATGGAACAAAGCATCCTGATGAACATCTACGCTATGTGGATGATGTTTGTGGACTATTTAAGCTTGCAGGTATACCCGATGATGTTGTTAAGAAGAAGGCCTTCCCTTTATCTTTAAAGGGATACGCATTGACATGGTATAGGCTATGTGATGATATGAGATCATGGAACTATAAAAGATTGAAATTGGAATTTCATCAAAAGTATTACCCTATGCATCTTGTTCATCGTGATCGTAATTATATATATACTTTTTGGCCTCGCGAAGGAGAAAGCATCTCTCAAGCTTGGGGGAGGCTTAAATCAATGTTATATTCATGCCCCAATCATGAGCTCGCAAGAGAAGTGATTATGCAAAGTTTTTATGCTCGGCTTTTTGATAACAATCGCACCATGCTTGATACTTCTTGTGCTGGCTCTTTTATGATGAAGACTATTGAATTCAGATGGAATTTATTGGATAGATAGAATTAAATGCAACTCTGAAGATTGGGACCTCGACGAAGGTAAGGAGTCAGGTATGACACCTAAGTTTGATTGTGTTAAATCTTTTATGGATACCGATATTTTCCGTAAGTTTAGCACTAAATATGGACTTGACTCTGAGATAGTAGCTTCTTTTTGTGAATCTTTTGCTACTTATGTTGATCTCCCTAAGGAGAAGTGGTTTAAATATCATCCTCCCATAGAAGTAAAAGTAGCTGCACCTATTAAAGTTGAAGAAAAGATTGTCACTTATAGTGATCCTATTGTTCCCACTTCTTATGTTGAGAAACCACCTTTCCCTGTTAGAATGAAGGATCATGCTAAAGCTTCAACTGTTGTTCGTAAAAACAATACTAGAACTTATACACCTCCTGAGCAA